AAAAAGTCTCTTTGGGGTTGTTAAAAAAAAAAAAAAAAAAGGAGTCGTATCCACACTGGCATTTTTTTTTATATTGTCTAGAAGGGCTATTGTCTAGAAGCCCAATTTCACTGGCATTTTTTTTTATATGACTGTACTCAAAAGAGAAAAAGAAAAAAATTGCATTTTGCGAGTTAGGTGTTTCTTCGCATCCACACCCAACTTGTGGGGGAGAGTATAAGAGATATGGAGATGAGATTAGTAGAGATGAAGTCAACATCTCTCACGTAACCGCTAAAGAAAATCCAGATTCTGGCTCAATCCAACTACTATGCAAAGGAAAGTTATGGTCATTTTGATTTAAGAGTTCCAGTCTCCTGATGAGAAGATGAAGATGATCGAATTTCTCGATCCTGGTTGATGATCAAGAGTTCGATTGCCAGATGCAGAGATGAAGATGATCGTTTCTCGATCCTGGTTGATGATCAAGTTTTTCGTTCCTTGATCTTGTTTGATGATGGAGTTTTTCGTTGCTCCATCCTGTGTGATGATCGTCGAGTTTTTCGTTACTCGATCTCGGATGTTCCGAAGAGAGAGAAAGAAAATTCATTTCTTTTAGAGAGAGAAAGCCTTTAGAAAAAATAGAATCCTTTGAAGAGAGAGATTTTTAAAGAAGCCTCTGAAGAGAGAAGATCTTCGGAGAAGAAAGTAGAAAGCCCAAGAAAGGTTGTTTCTTAGAAGACCCTGGAGAGAGAAAATCTCTATAAGAAAGTAGAGAGCCTAAGTAACATGTGAAATATTTTTTTTTGGCAACTTAGTATTGTTCAAACTCGAGTTGCTTTGTGTTAAAGCATCTTGAGTTTGAGGGGGAGTGTTGAGATATTGATATCTTGGGTTCATATTGATATACATTATTATGGATGTATATGTATATATCTCTTGATAAGGTTAAGTATCTAGAAGATAGAGACCAAGTTACTTGGTCATCAAGTTATCATACCATAATTATCTCTTCTAATTGTGTGATTGTCCTCTATATATAGAAGTACTTCTTGATGTAATCATTCATCCAAAATAGTGAAGAAGTAGCCGATTGGGGCTTTGGATCCGTAGACGTAAGGCTTCGGCCTGAACCACGTAAATGTTGTGTTCTCTCTTCTTCTCTCTCCATTCTCTATTCTATGCTCCCACGAATTCTAACCACGTAAATGTTGTGTTCTCTCTTCTTCTCTCTCCATTCTCTATTCTATGCTCCCACGAATTCTAACCACGTAAATGTTGTGTTCTCTCTTCTTCTCTCTCCATTCTCTATTCTATGCTCCCACGAATTCTAACCACGTAAATGTTGTGTTCTCTCTTCTTATCTCTCCATTATCCAGTCTATGCTCCCACGAAATCTAACAATAGGTACCTAAGGTCACTATGTGAAGGCATTGGGATAAAATTTGAGATAATTCTACTAGGTTTAGGTGACCTATGGTCAATAGGATTTGTGTGTTTCTTTTGACTCTAAATCGGAGTTTTTACGAATTCCTTTAGCCAAAATTTCAAGGAGGGTGTCTACAATTTTTCTTATGAGAGAGAAGAGAGAGGTGTGTATAGAATTGAGATGGGACAACCCCCTATTTATTGTGTTTCTAGGGGGTTGAAATTTTGTAGCGATAATCATCTTTGTAGATTAATCCATACCATTGGTTTTACAAGGCATGTGGGGTGAGAGAAATTCAATCTATAGATCAACCATCATGATTCAAAGGGTGATGCAGAATCTTATCCTTCAGTTTTCCAAACCTTATCCCATCAAATACCAAAATTATGGAAAATATGAGATAACATCTATCTTTGTATAAATCTCTTTATTTATTCATATTCTTTTTAGGAGTTCAATCTCCTTAGGATTCCATAAAGCATATATTGTACATAATTGATTGGTCAACAAGATCTCTTAGGTCAACAAGACATGATCTCACTAAAACATATACAAAATAAGTGGGGCATGGCCATCTAGAGGCTCCTAGTGGGCCCCACATGCACATCCCATTGGGGTCCTGATGGGCTCCCATATCTCATATGAAATTTAAAATAAAATTGATGTTTAGAATTTGGGAAATAAACATTATTTCCCTCTAAATATTTAAATACTGAAAGTCAATTACCTTTTAATTTATAAATTCATTTTATAAAAATAAAATATCCAAGAACTTATAAAAATTCAACTAATCAATCTAAAAATTATTTAAACATCAAAATCATTAAAACCAAAAGCAATTTGGGACCCAATTATTGGTGGATACTAAACCTTCAAAAGCTAATTGGGACCCAATTATTGAAAGATGTTAGAAAAAGTTGGACCTATGGAAGGGCAAGACCCTTTCTTTGAGAGGAAGATACACTTTAATCAAGTCCACCTTATCCAATCTTCCAATATACTTTATACCCCTATTATGTATGCCTATGCAATTTGTTAAACGCCTTGAAATATTAATTAGAAACTTTCTATTGGGGGATGTGACAAATATAAGAAACTTCATCTAGTGAAATGAGAAACAATTTGCAATCCAGTTAGGGACGGAGGGTTGGGTATCAAAAGATTGAATTTCATGAACTTCAATTTATTGACAAAGTGGTAGTAGATGATACATTCTCAGCAAAATACCTTTTGGGTGGAGGTTTAAGAGATAAATATGGAGAATATACCCTCACGTGACTTATTAAGAGTCCAAGAAATAAATTTATTTTTTTCTTCTTATGGAGATGAAATGATCATAGTAGAGAAACTTATTTGAACCATATCAGGAAGGCAGTTGGTGATCGAAATCAAACCCTCTTCTGGTTTGATAAATGGTTGAGGAATGAGCCTTTGAGACTCCAATATTTGGAGGTTTTTACTAAAGATTTGAACCCCTTGGCTACTGTAAAAGTGGCAAGTGGGGGTATCTTTACTAACATTGTTTGGACTTTACCTTGCAGGTACAGGAGGGTCTCTGATTATTTCATTGAGGCCTATCAAAGCTTGCTGAATAGGCCAAAGGATGTATATATTTCACCCAACAAAGTAGACTCCATTGTTTGGGAATGCACGAAGTTTGGGGATTTCGCAGCGAAATTAGCCTATTGTTTGTTGTTTCAAACTCATCACAGTGCATCAGATCCCTGGCTTTGAATGACTAGAAAGATCAATGTCCCCACAAAAATTAAGATGTTCTTATGGATCCTTTGTCTAGTTGATAATCTAAGAAGAAAGGGCTTCAATATTGTCAATGCCTGTATTTTATGCAAAGCTGATAATGAAAGTGTTCCTCATATTTTTTTGGAGTGCCCTTTGCTTTGAACCTGTGGAGCTAGGCCCGTCAGTTGTTCAACCTTCAAGTACACATACCAAGAAATACTAGATCTTTTCTTGAACAGTTGATAACACCATGAATCTTTAAGATTGGTACTGCTCTATGGCGGTCAGTTTGGGTGAGCGTGCATTGGGGAATTTGGACAGAGTAAAATAGAAGAGTCTATCAGGGAGTTGTGTTAGAAGAATTTATCCTTAAATCAAGTAGCTTAGCATTGGTTTTCTACAAATAAGGATAGTACAAGTATTCCCATAAGCTTTGAAGTAGCTAATTTTCATAGCTATAAAGCAATCCGGCGTGCAGTATGGATCTCGCATCCTTCAAACACCTATAAACTCAACTTTGATGGTAGTTTATTTGAAAATCTAGGAACGACGGGTTTTGGGGGGCTTATCAGAGATCATCTTGGGAAGATCCTATTGTCTTACTTTTGTCTGTGTGGTAATACAACAGTCAATGAAGCAGAAGCTAGAGGTCTACTGGAGAGAATTAAATTGCTTTTAAAATTTGATGGAGGGAAGGTTATTAAAGGGGATTCAACGAATATATATAATATGGTGTAAAAGAGACGCTCGAGTTCCGTAGAGCCTCTTCCATTTTTCATTAAATTGGTGACATTCTTCCGTCACTTGTTAAAATACTCCATTGTTATTGTGAAGCGAATGTTGAAGCGGATTTTTTAGCCAAGGGAGCTGCCTTTCAATCCTCATTGGTGATTACCAATTTTCGTGTGATGTACCTTTATGTATTTCGTTCCCCTTGTAACTTCATTGGTTTATAGTTAATAAAAGTCGTATGTTAATGTTTAAAAAAAAAATAAAATACAAATCTTATGGAGCCCTGAACACTTATTTTTAAGGTAAAATAGACGGTATAGATAATGTGTTACAATACACACTATTTTTAGGGTTTGAAATCCTAATTTTTGTTTTTTTCACAATCAATATGAAGGTTTTCAATGCTAAAACTACCATTTTCATTAGGAGTGGCAATGGACCCGGAGCCGGCGGGTATACCCGACATGGGTCTGGGTATGGGTCCAACATTTGGACCCGCAGGTCGAGTCTGGGTTCAAAACCTGGACACGACCCATTGCTACCCCTAATTTTTTTTGAGTTTTGAGGTGAGGCTTTTCCTATAAGGGAAATATCCTCATGACTTTTATTTTTGGTTTTTATATCTCAATAGACCAAAAGATTTAAAATATCTCTTAATCCCCTATCTAACTTTATCCACTTCTAATTATTTTTTTAGCCCTAACAAATATAAAAAAGACATGCTTCTGCTAAACCCTTATTCTCTTTACGTAAAATATTACTCCTAAATTTCTCTATATCTCTTTCTCTCTAACATTCATTTTCTTTGTCCCTCTAACGAGGGAAAAAGAGAATGAGAGACACCGGGGAGAGAGGAAAAATAAGTAGAGAGAGATTTAGAAGAAAATCGTGTGAAGAGAGAGAAACTTTGGTGTTTATAAAAAATATGTCTCTTTTATATTTATTTAAGGCAAAAAAATACGTTTTAAAGGGGATGAAGTTAGCTTAACGTGTTAAAAGATATAACACTTGAAATTTTGATGATCTTAAGATACGTTTTGAAACTTTAGAGCTATCAAGATGTAAAATTTAAAATTGGAAGGTATGGAGATACTTTGCCTTTCCTATATTAATAAGGATGCAGCCCTACAAAACATTTTGTTTACACGCGTTCAAACGTCAAAGAGAAGGGTGATTTCTAATCCAATTGACATTTGCAGAGTATTCCTTGCTTGCCATTCGAGCAATTTCTAGCTTTATAAGAAGTTTGGGAAACTTCTCCTAAGAAAATTGGAGAGAGTCGACCATGGCGTTGAGAAGTGGGGCACGATACATCTCTCGGAGGCTGTCTTCGGGGGGAAAAATCCTCAGCGAAGAGGAGAAAGCAGCTGAAAATGTGTACATTAAGGTGCATTTGACTGCCATTTCTTGGGATTCTAGCCCATTCATGTATTTCAATCCAAATTTCCTTGTGTAAAGTGTATTCGGTGATATTGTTTTGTTTATTCGGTGAGCTATGATTGATAATGGGGGTTCGGAGAGTATCAGTCCAATTGCTCGTGGTTTGTTGCCACTTTGGATGGATTACGGTTTTAGGGTTTATGGTTTATGCACTGTCGAGATTCTATCTAGACATGTGTGTGAGAAACTATTGCTTCAATTGATAATAGTTGTTTTAAAACTATTGGCACTATTGATCCTGGTTTATGACCATTTGGATTGCTGTTTGAGGGTTTATGATTTATGTTGTAGTCGAGTTTCTCTCTTTGTGTCGGTGTTGGAAACCATTAGTGATTGCTTTAATTGATTTTGGGTTCATGGCCATTTTGGATGTAGTAGGGCTTTAGATCTTAAGATTTATGCTGTAATCAAGTTTCTCTCTATGCATTTCTGTGAGAAATTATGTGTTCCATGGATAGGGGACGCTGAAGCTACTGGTTCAATCGATCTTAGTTTATTGCATTCTTGATGGATTAGGGTTTCAGAGCTTGTGATGTATGGTGTAATTGAGTTTCTTTCTATGTGCCTATGTCAGAAACTATCATTTCAATTGATAATGGAGGTTTTGCAATTATTGGTTTAGTAGATACTGGTTTATGGCCCTTTTAAATTGACTTGTAAGCAAGTTTCTCAATGTGTTTACTGCAGGTCCAGTTGATCTTGTTTCGCTGCCAATTTCTATGTATTAGGTCTTTGGGTCTATGATATATCCTTAATTGAGTTCATCTCTTTGCTTTAATGATAGAAATTATTGGTACAGTGGATAATGGAGGTTCTGAAACTATAGGTTTGATTTATCATGATTTCTTTCCACTTTGGATTGACTATGGCTTTTAACTGTTATAATCTATGCTGTAGTTGAGTTTTTCTCTAATGCATTTATGTGTGAAACTAAAAGTTGATAATATAGATTTTGAAATTGATTCAAATGATCTTTGTAAAATGCCATTCTCGATAGATTAGGGTTTCAGGTTTAGGGTTTATGCTGTAATTGAGTTTCTCTTGATGCATTTATTTGAGGATCCCTGAGTGCCTTTAAGCTTTGGTTTTAATGGAGAGGTTTCTGGTTTTGCTTTGATCAATACTAGTGTATAGGGGTTGTCTTGCTAGTGTATTCATCAGTTACTCCTTTTTTTCACAGGGAAACTATTTCTAACGATAGGGCTTTATCAGTGGAAACATACGTGATTAATTATATGCCTTTTTTATTTTAAAGATTTGATTGATTATGTGTCCCTTGAACCAATTTGAGAAATATTGAGGTTTTACTAGGATACGAGGTTTTCGCGGGGCACAATTATTAATCATTTGTAGTATCTTTTATTTTTTATAAGGGTTTTAATGGATTGTTTGCTGATGTATTTGGTTAACTTATTTTTTGTAAATTTGTGTGCAGAAAATTGAGCAGGAGAAGTTGGAGAAACTTGCACGCAAGGTATGCCACCTCCTTGCAATTTCTTGAACCGAATGTGATATTGATGAGTAAGCGAAATCAGTAGCAATCTATTTTATTTTCTTTGTTTGATCTCACAAAGTTTATATCATGATCTATAAAACTTTATGGGAAGACATAAAGTTCATATGAAAGAAACAAAAGAGATTGATTGAATCACTTCCTTCAATTCGAGAGAAACTCATTAAAAACCCCGAAAATGAGGGAATTAACCTGTGGTGCTATTTTTCTGCTATTAAGAAGTTGATGCTTCGGATTTTCTGTTAAAGCTAATTGGAGTTTTTTTTTTTGTTATACCAGTCTAAGTTTCTTTTTGGTTTGTCATTAGCAGTTCAGTGGTTTGTATTGTGCTGTTTTCTAGTGGCCGCCTTTCTTTTGTGAGGGATGTCTTACTGTTATGTACTGTATAATAATTTTGCTCCTTATCATTGCAATTTATTTTAGAGGATAAATATTTGTGGTTGTCTAAAAAAGTATGTAGCATAAGAAGTACAACCAAGCCTTTTGTCACCGAGGGTTATTTATAAGAGTAAGCTTGCTAAAGTAAATGGATCTCCTAATGTTAGTGGCTCTTCCCTCTTTTAGGATGTTGAAATTCTTTTCTAAAATGTACTCTAAAATCATTAATAATTCTACAAAATGTACTATACGTGCTTTGTTGGTTTCTGAACAAAATGTACCATACGTGCTTTGTAAGTAAATGGATCTCCTAATGTCAGTGGCTCTTCCCTCTTTTAGGATGTTGAAATTCTTTTGTAAAATGTACACTAAATAACTAATAATCCTACAAAATGTACTATACGTGCTTTGTTGATTTTCGAACAAAATGTACCATACGTGCTTTGTTGATTTTCAACAGCATATTTCATCATTAAGCAACTCGAGGTCTGAACTGATCTGGGTATGCTGTTAATACGTAATGTATTATGTTATTCTAAAGATGAATAATGAGGTCTAAATTGATCAGATGATGCTATTTAGCATAAATTTTCATCTTCTTCCGTAATGTTGGTCCTCTAGGTATTATTATGGTGGACGGGCCAGATTGGTTGGTGCATGCAACTATGTTAGAGTGTCTTCACAAGCATTTGTTCATTGTGTGGTAGCTTCTAAAGGAGCCTTTTATAGATTGAATTCTGGTTTTGTTCAAATTCCTTAACTTTGTTCTCATCTTGAAAGATTGTGTTTCTTTAATTTATTCTTATAAGTAAACAAGGTGTATATGGTCAATCTATGTCATTTCGGGGTTATTTTCCTACTTAATTTTTAACTTGATTGAGGTCTTAGGCTAGTTTGGGTTAGTTTGTATTTGTTGTCCTCTTTATTAGTTTATATGTACCAGTGTGGAAGGATTCCATAGACATCAGTTGTGTATGTTATGTGCATGATACAGCTGGGGCGTCAATCATCCTTTCTTGGTGACAGATGGTGGATGTCTAACAGCCACATGGACATCTGATCTCCACCATCTGTCATTGAGACAGTGGATCCCGTGGTTGCTCACTGCATGCTATCCACCATTTGTGTGTGGTAAATTTTCAAATAAATTTGTCTTTGTAAGAGGCCAACCTATAAGAGTGATGTATAGGTTGGCCTCAACGAGTACGAGTTGGCCTCTTCTAGAACTATTAACAAACGGACAATCGTACATAACTCCCTAGAGATAGCATCTATATTTCAGATGTGGAAAATATATCAAATCTTGAAGACATAACTATAGACGAGAACAAAATTAGTTAAAACTGGAAATTACCTCTGAAAAAACCTGAAGCTATATAAAAAATAGGAACTTTTAATTGTTTTTGCCAAAAAGACTGTTAGAACAATTGAAAGATCTTAATCTATTAAATAATCAATTAACAATTTCGATGTTAGAAGAAAATATACTAAAATACCTTAAAGAAAAATATAATTATATTCGTATAGGACTTTTTCAGGTAGCATTAGTTGTTTTAACTAGAACAAGAGTAAACTCTTCAACTCTTTATAATGGACCTGCTTGGTTTAACGGCCATCCAAACTTTACCCTCTCTTTAAAAGACAAATATCTATTAAAAGCCTTTACCTTAACTGGCAGCGCTCATGGATTTGACATGATAGAATGATCTAGAAATATTGCAGTTATTTATAGAACCTATTTTAGGGTATTAAATACCTTTAACCCCCAAAATAGAACCATTGAATCAGCTGGTTATACAACTCTATTTGAAACATATCTAAAAAATAAAAAAATTATCCTCAAGAAATTAAAGTGGGAAGAAATAAGATTACCTGAAACTTGGAACATCCAAACTCTGGTCATCAGAAGACCAATGAAAAACTTAAAAGGCTTGGAATTAGAATTGGTAGTAGAATCATTAGAAGGAGACATAGAAATTTCATTTAAAAAAGAATCTATTATAAAAGAACTCAGAAGAACTATAATTTCTAAGATAAATACTAGTACTAATAAAGAATCCAATATAGATAAAAGCCTCAGCCTATTGGAATATGTTATGTTATATACACCTCTTCTAGAACATTGAAAATGAAAATAGTTGTAATGTTCTTCCCTCCTTTGGAATAGATAAAGAAGCAGTAAAAAAGGAATTCTTCTCAAAAGAAAATAAACAAAAAAGACAAGTATTTTTCAACAGTCATAAAAATAATAAAGAAAGAGGGGTTATAAAAAAAAAATAAAATAAAGAAAGGGAAAAAATATAAGAATTGTTTTATGAACTTTTAGGAGAATTACAAACTCATATACCATTCCTAGAATGGTATGATTACTGATTTCCGCATTGCTATTCTGACTGGGTCATAAAAAATACTAATGAAAGTATCAATTCCATTCAATCCAACTCAAAGCAATGGGCTATTAAGAAAAATAAAGAAATATCTTCTATACACCCTCCTAATAGGAGTATAATTATCTCTTATAATACATTAGCAATACCCTTAAGAAACGCTTCTGGAATACTAACCTCAAAAGATTGAGTAGAACTACAAAATTACAGAAACCTTTATGTACAGACCATAGGATCTCAAACTGAGAACATAATCTATTCTAAAAGATATCAAAGATGAAGTTCAGCTTATAAAACAAATTATTTGTACCAAAGAAGGAAAAAATTTCTTCCAACAAACTTCACTGAAAAATATTTTAAGAAAACCTTTACCCTTGGAATAAAACCTTTAGTCATTTTGATGCCTAATATTTCGGAAATAACAAATTTAGTTAAAGAACCTCTAAAAATATCGATTGATGAGCTTGACTCCCTAACCAATCAATTTTCAAAACTATATTCTAGAAAAGAATTAAATGTACTATTTGAACCAGAAAGTTCAGATGAATTTTCTCATGACTATGCAACTGAAGAACAGATACTGACTTCGAAGAAATAAAACCGGAACATTTTAAAAATATTGCTAAGTCAAAAAAATGCTTAACAATATGAACATAACCCGAAATGTTAAAACAAAAAATTATTGAGCATCCTTCCCCAGTGGACATTCAATTTGATTTGAAGAAGTCCTAGATATTGTCTCCCAGATATTTTTTGGTGATTTTATCAATGAATGCAATATAGATGTAATGACTAAATACCAAATCTTAGACACTATCCAAAATATGACTATTTATGCTACTGCTTGTTTATTAAGAAAGAACTCAGATCATATAATAGGCAATCTAATAGTTGCGGGCTTTTCAGGCCAACTACAGGGTTTGGTAGAATAATTATTTGAACTTAAGTCAAAGACAAATGATCGTTACTCATTATAAAACAGATCATAATAATCAAACTATTAAAAATGAAGCAGGACGAGAAGAAGAAGGTGCAGTCTCTACTCTTATTGTTACATTAACTCATCACATTGTAGGAAAAACAGAAGACAAATGAAAATTTTACACAATCTTAGGTGTCCTTCTCTTCCTTACTAAACTTTTAACCCTTTATGATGCCGATAGCAGTCATTGGAAAGAAAAGTTACTTTCAGGATTTCCAAAATGTTTTGTAGACGATGTAAGATCATATAGAATTGAAGATCTTTCTCTTCTTACTTGTGCTGAAATTATACAAAGAATTAATAAAACATGCTTAATGCTGTGTAATGATTTAAGACTAAAAGCTCAACTTAAAAGAGAAAAACTAATTAGCAAAAAAGAGTTAGAAAATTTCTGTTATCAATTTGGAATAGATCTCTATCATCCTACTAGAAAACCAACAAAATATTATAAAAGCTCAAAATATTATTCTAGAAGCCTAAGAAAAATTACTCAAAAAATAAAATGAGAAAGAAGAAAAACTAAGCAAAAGGAAGTCCTGACTTGGTTTAAATGTGGAAAGAAATGACATTATACTAATAAATGCTATTATAAAAAGAACAATAATTAAGAAGAATTATCTGGAGAAGAGAAAGAAGAAGCATACTATTCTTCTTCTTTTGATTCAGAATTTTTAAAAAGAAATGTTATTGTCCAATAAATTTGTTAACTACAGAACAAGAGACCTTCTTAGAATTATTGTTTAAAACCTCAAATTTAGAATTTAAAAATAAAGTCTTAAAAGAACATTTTGAGAGTCAAATAAACGAACAAAAGAAATAGAAAAATTTAATATGACACCACAAGCTTATAACTTCAATAAAATAAGGAAAGAGTTTATATAAGGACGCAACCTTATAATGTAGAACTACGGATGCACCTAAATATCCATCGGAAAAGGTAGTTTTAATGTTGTAAAACCCTTTGATTGATCATCTCGACATTCAGATGTATGACCATGAAAAATAAAAAGATTTTTAGTCTCAGAAATAGTGCATTTTACAACATATTATCTACACCGTCCATTTTCAGAATTTTCATATGTTTATAGATCTACTTGATTTTAACCATTTTTGAAATTTAAAATTTATAATTAGATATAAAAATAAATTTTGAGATAATCTTAAGAACATTTTACATCAAAATTATATAACATCCGTATGCCAACTGCACCCAT